GCCTTCAAGTTCCCCTCCAAGCCACTCACCATTCTACATTGGAAATACATCATCGTTCCTTCACTGTCACTGGGTCAAAATCCTGCAATTCCCTCCCTAATGGCATCGTGGGTAAACCCACAACAGGAGGACTGCAGCAGGTCAAGAAGGCAGCTCACCACCATCTTCCCAAGGGCAACTAGGGACGGGCAATAAATGCTGGCCAGCCAGCGACACCCACATCCCACAAAATGAATTTTAAAAAATAGAGTACAATATTCCAACTAAAGCAAAATTCTATAATTACCAGCGTTACAATTACAACTGGCTCTGAAGAAGGCTCACTTTGGACTTGGAACGTAAGTTCTGTCCCTATCTCTACAGACACTGCCAGGTGTGCCCCAGTTTTCTGTTTTTAATTCAGAATTCCACAATCGTTGGATCTTAGTCAGAAAAATACAAAGGACATTTATTTTATATCAGCAATGCAAAAGTCAGGAAAATATTCAACTATCTGGCTGTTTTCCCACTTTAACATTTCTGTAACAAATCATTAACATTGGAGAGACAGTAGAAGGGTCTAGGCCCGAAACGTCAGCCTTCCTGCTCCTCTGATGCTGCTTGGCCTGCTGTGTTCATCCAGCTCTAAACCTTGTTATCTCATTAACATTGGAGAGTTCTTTTTTGTTTAACCACATTTTAAATGTCCTTGTCTCATTACCAAAATGAAATTACAATCAATGTTGGATCTCCCCCTGTTCAGTGCACTGTTTATTATCTGTTCTCTCCCATACTCTCTCTCAGAAACACATGAATGAGACATGTCTAATAACCCCTCTTTCAGAATATGGTGCAAAATACACAAGCAATGACAAAAAGGTTCAATTGCAGAAGTTTCACATGTTCACAAGAACATGCAAACAAGAAATAACAGTAGACTACTCTATCGTTTGAGTCTGCTCTACCATGCAATAAAATCATGGCTGATCTGATTTCAACCTCGACTCCACATTTCTCCATATCCCCAATATTCTTTCATCCCCTTCATAATCATCAAGAATCTACCTACTTTGGCTTTAAAAATATTTAAAGATTCTGCATCTACTGCCTTTTCAGGAAGGGAATTCCAAAGAAACCAACCCATTTCGACTCCATACCTCAACAATGCAGTTGATTCTTAATGGTCCTCTGAAGTAGGCTAGCTGCCAAACAGTTCAAGGTCAATTAGCATTACAAATGCTTGCCCAGCAAGGGCCACTCATGTTCCATGAATGGATGGGATTAGTTTAGCATCATGGTCAGCACAGACATGGTGGGCTGAAGAGCCTGTGATTATAAAAAACAAGAATGCGCCACAACCTCACTGAATGCCCGAACAGGAATGGATCGCCAGGTTAGTAATCAAAAGAGAAGTCCTATATCAATAATAGCATCCTCTGATTGGATTAGAGAAAGAGAAGGGGGATGGGAGCTGATGGGAGCTCATCAACCACAGGACGACTGAGAAACTGTCATCTCAGCGCAGTCCCAGATCCAAAACTACAGGCCTCTGGGCTGCCAGGGATCAGCTCCTCAATCATACAGTTCCTCTGTCAACCCACAGTGTCCGGTATAGTTCAGTCACCATGCTGTCTACCTCCATATCTCGCTGGTTAACCAGATTTACTTTTGGTTCCACCATTCACCAAGGTCCTAGCTGCCCTGTTGTCAGCCCGCACTCGCAGGCAAAAGATTTTTCCACCTTGAAGTCTTGGGAGAAAGAATTCAGCTCACAGGGCATTCTACTTGATCTCAGCACCTCTGGGCCATTAGTTCATTTGTCTCCACCCATTATATCACAAAGTTTCAAGAAATTATTTATAGCACACTTCGAACCAACTGGTTCACTCAGCATTTATGCTTCACAAGCACTTGCTCCCAACTTTTGTACATATAACTGCCACTCCATTTGTTACTCCCTCAAATCCTTCAATAGCTGTCCCTTAATTGTATCAGTGCTACTGATTTCAACTACATCCTGTTCCACATTCTCCAAACCTTACTGTGGTGGTAATCCTCATGTTAAACTTAGCACTGTCTCTCTGTAATGAGAGAGTAGGATTATGGTGATTTGCCTTTTATTAGTTACTATCTTGTGTGGTTGGCCTTTAATTATGGTCTTTCCCACTTGCAGAAGCATCTTCTCCACATATTGCTGCCAAATCCTTTCCTAATCTTAAAGACTTATCAGGATACCTTGCAATCTCCTCTCTCCTAGAGAAAAGAGCTCCAATTATTCAGTCTTTCTTGATAAGTATAATATTTCAGTCCCCACAGTGTGGAAACAGGCCATTCGGCCCAACAAGTCCACACCAGCCCACCGAAGAGCCTCCCACCCATCCCCCTACCCTGTCCCTGTAACCCTGCATTCCTCATGGCTAATCCACCTACCTACACATCCCTGAACACTATGGGCAATTTAGCATGGCCAAGTCACCTAACCCGCACATCTTTGGACTGTGGGAGGAAGCAGAGCACCTGGCAGAAATCCACACAGACACAGGGAGATTATACATACTCTACACAGACAGTCGCCCAAGTTTCAAATCGAAGCTGGGTCCCTGGTGCCCTGAGGCAGCAGCGCTAACCACTGAGCCCACCATTCACACATTCTCCAGGGCCTTTGTATCTGTTACATAATACAGAGGCTTGAAATGAGCACAGTACTCCAAGTATAGTCTAAACAAAATTCTAAATGATTATAACATCTCCGCTTTACAATTCTAGTCCTGCAGAAATGAATTGCAACACTGTTTACTTCTTTGGATGGCCTTAATAATTTGCATTGTTCTTTTTAATGATTTATACACATGTATACACAGAGCATGCTGCTCTTTGAGCCTGTTTAGGCATTTACTGTCCAAGAATGTGATAATCTTTCTACCAAAATACATCACTCTACACTAACCTATACTGAAGCTCAATTGACAATTACATTTCCATATTGTAAATTCATCATTGCCTACCACTTGCAGTCCTCGTCCACATTAATCACATCCATCATTTTGTTCCCTTCACTTATCCCCCAACATAAGAATTCAAAATGATGCATGATTTTGAGGAATAAGGGCCATGTTTAAAGTTTAAATCAACCCTCCTACTACCTGGCGAACTACTGTTGTGGTATACCTTTGAGTTGGGGGTCTTCTATTTTTTTCTCTGTATTGCACTGTATAAACATTCAATTCAGTCTTAATCACGGTTTGCTCTGGGGAAGCTACCAACTCAGATATGTGGATATGTTCTCCAATTGTTTAATACTGCTACTCAACTTCTCAAAAGTTCTGAATAAATTAACCTATGTATTTTGGCATTAATTAATCCCTAATGCATGGTTGGTGCGTTGATGTTTATTTACTAAGTCAGCACAAAAAGAAGCAGAACACAAACTGCTACCAGCTACAGATATTAACTGCCCAAGACATTCAGCCTTAGAATCTTGTAAAAGGCATTAGTCCATTATGCCTGTGCTGGCCACTGGAAACAGTGATCCAATAGTCCTATCTCCATCCCTTACCTGGTCTTTCACATTTAACCCAGATTTTTTGTTTCCCCATTTTCCAATTACCTTTAGGTACCTGTTATCAAATCTGCTGCCAACTTCCTTTCCAACAATAAGACCATAAGAATTAGGAGTAGATCGTTTGGCCCCTCAAGCATGCTGTGCCATTCAATAGGATCATGGCTGATCCGACATTCCTCACATCCACTTTCCTGCCTTTTCACCACAACCCTTTGTTCCCCTACTGATCAAGAATCTATCTCAGCCTTATATATGCATAATGACTCTGCCCCCAGCTCTCTGGCAAGGAGATCCAAAGTCTCACAAAGAGAAGAATTTCCTCATTATCTTAAATTGGTGTCTCTTTATTCTGAGACTATGCCTTCTGGTCCTAAACAGTCTCATGAGGGGAAACATCCTCTCAGCATTTACCCTGTCAAGCCCCTTAAGAATCCTATATGTTTCAATGAGATTACCTCTCATTCTTGTAAACACCAGGGAGTGGAATCCCAACTTTTTTTAGCCTTTGGTCAGAAGACAATCCCTTCATACGCCTCAGCAGTGAACTCCAAAACATTATTTAGTGAAGAAAAATTCTCTTCTCTGTCCTCCACTCCCAATTATCTTCAATTTGTGTCTTCTCATTTACTGACAGCTTTCTTTTTCCCTGCAGCTGTTCTGACTAATGGGATTGGTTAGCACAGTTAGCTGGACAGCTGGTTTGCAATGCAAGATGTGACACCAACAATGTGGGTTTGATTCCACAATAGAAGAGCTCACCTTTTCACTACTCCCCTCACTGGAGGCATAGTGACCACCATCAGTCATTTCCCTGCAAGCCCTATGACCTCACAAGACTATGGTAGCTTTACCTTTTACTTTGCTTCTCATCTCGGTCTTTACATGAATTTGAACACCTCCATTAATACCTCATATACTTTCCCTGCTATTAGAAGAGTCTTAGAGAGCTTATCCAGTTGAAAACAGTTTGACCCAGATCTCAAAAAAATTCACGCAAAATCTTCTGGACAGTAAGTACATTAGCAAGTTCAAGACTGGGCTCTATGTGGGGCCCTGAGAAGTAATATTGAGACCCTGAAATCAAGAGTCCTTCAATTAACTCATCCGACCAGTTAAACATTTCCAACCATTAGCCTGTCAGCCTATTGTTTATTGGTGCCTTTTCTTCCCAAGGGATGACCGCACTGAGACTGTGCATCTGAGAGACAACAGCCTTGTAGAGAAACCATTTCTACAGCTCGACATATCGCTCAAGTCAACCAAGAAGTCACTTCTCCACAGAGTAAACCCAAAAACAAGTAAAACTAAGAAACAGCCAAGAGATAGTTCATCTTTGTAAAGTGAAAACAGGTCACAGTGAATCTATGTGACAGGATGGAAAGAAAATTCTTTACTGTGCATCATTTAGCGTTCAACAGGCTGTGAGCCAAGGACCCAGTGGGGAAACTCCTTCCCTTACCTGTCAATGATAACGGGATCCGAGGGTGTTTCGTTCCTGTTTCCACAGCTTTTCTTGTCACAGCATCGGCTGTAGCAAAACAGAAATTGGCAGATTGTTAACACCAACAAGGATAAAAACAACTTACTGCAGAAATCCAGAAATAAAAACTGAAAGTGCTGGAGAAACTCAGCAGATCTGGCAGATTCTGTGGAGAGAGAAACAGAGTTAGCATTTCGAGCTTGAGTTGGTGGTAGAAGCAGTGACCCTAAACTCTTTGAAAAGTGCCTGGATCAGCACCTTGTTTATTATAAACTGCAGGGCTATGGATTGTGTGCAAGAAGATGGGACAAGAAAGGGCATCCGGGTGTCTTTGGGTCAGCATGAACAAGATGGGCCAAATGGCCTCCTTCTGTCCTGAAATATTTCTATGGTTCTACAGAATCCTGTGTGACTCTTCATCAGAACCAGAATTAGGTGATACAAGGAAATGTTGATACATAAAGCGTAAGGAACCACATCAAAGAATACATTATATTTTGTCTGGTGTAGGTACACCCACAGTGATTTTCTAGAAGGGACCCAGCAACACTGAAGGAACAGAGATACAGTTCCAAGTCAGGATGGTGTGGCGAACTTGCAGGGGGTGGTCTCTCCATGTATCTGCTGCCCTTGTCCTTCTAGATGTAAGTGATAACAGAGTTGGAAGGTGCTGCCAAAGGAGTCTTGGTGAATTATTGCAGTGTGTTTTGTAGATGGTATACACTGCTGCCATTGTGTATCAGTCCTTGAAAGGCATAATTGTTTAAGAAGGTGGATGGAGTGCCAATTAAGTGGACTGATCTGTCCTGAATGTTGTCAAGCTTTTTAAGTTTTGCATTTCTGTAATGCCTTTCATGAGCTCGCAATGGCATCCTTTTTATAATTTGGAGTCCCATAATCAGAGTTTCTTTCAAAAGGAGGGTCCATTATCTAGTGTTCTGAAATCCCACCATGGACACTATTTTTAAAACTGCTTCAAGCTCACAATCACAAAGAATGGTTTCTACACTTTGCAAGTATCATTTGCACCAGACAAGTCCCAGGCAATGATCATCTCCAATTACAGACAATCTAACCACTGCCCCTTGATACTTAATGGTTTTACCATCTTGGGATCCCCATGATCAACATTTTGAGGAGTTAACATTGAACAAAAACTGAACTATACTAGCCATAAGCAAGTGACAGGCTAGGAATCCTGCAGCAAGTAACTCACCTCCTGACTCCCCAAAGTCTGTCCACCATCTACAAGGCACAAGTCAGGAGTGTGATGGAATCCTCCTGGATGAGTGCAGCTCTAACAACACTCGAGGCTTGACACAATCCAAGTCAAAGCAGCCCGCTTGATTGGCAACACATCCACAAACATTCAGCAGCAGGATGTACCATCTACAAGATGCACTGCAGGAGTTGACCAAAGATCCTCAGACACCACACTCCAATCCCCCAACAACTTCCACCTGGAAAGAGTAAGGCAGCAGATACAGGGAAAAACCATCACCTGCAAGTTCCCCTCCAAATCACTCACCAACCTGACGTGGAAATATACTGCTGCTCCTTCAGAGATTCTGGGTCTAAATCCTGAAATTCCCTCCCTAATGGTATTGTGAGTCAACCCACAGTAGGAGGACTGCAGCGGTTCAAGAAAGCAGCTCACCACCACCTTCTCAAGGGCAACTAGGGACGGCACAAGCCAGCCAGAGATACCCACATCCGAGAAGTGAATTAGTAAAACTTTCAAGGACATGATAATATCACTGGATTAATAAACCAGAAACCTATGCTAATATTTGGAGGGCACAGGTTCAAATCCCCACCATGGCAGCTGGTGGATTTTGAATTTAATTGTTGAAATCTCAGAAATGGTGAGAATGAGACTATTGTTGCTTGTGTAAGAACCCAACTAGTTCACTAATCCACTTTAGGGAAGGAAATCTGTTGTTCTTACCTGGGACTGGCCTACACATGACTCCACACTAACAGCAATGTGATTGACTCTTAACTCCCCTTGGAAACAGCTGAGCAAACCATTCAATTTATGAGCACTTAGGGATGGGCAGCAATTGGCTGGACTTTCCAGAGACACCCTTATCACTTCACAATTAAAAGTCCAACAGAATCATACAGTATTAGAGTCATAGAGGTCGATAGCTCTGAAAAAGGCCCTTCAGCCCATCACATTTGTGCCAGTCAAAAACTAGCACCTAACTACTCTAATCCCATTTTCTAGCACCTGGCCCATAGCCTTGTATGCCTTGGCATTGCAAGTGCACATCTAAATGCTTCTTAAATGTTATGAGGGTTTTTGCCTCTACCAAACTTACAGGCAGTGAGTTCCAGGTTCCCACCACTCTCTGGGTTAAGAAAAACTTTTTTCCTCACATCTCCTCTAAACCTTCTGCCCCTTAACTTAAATCAATGTCCCCTGGTCATTGATCCCTCCACCAAGGGGAAAGGATGCCTCCTGACTACCCTGTCTATGCCCCTCATAATTTTATACATCTCAATCATCACACTCTCATCTCCTCTGCTCTGAAGAAAACAACCCCAGTCTGTCCAATCTCTCTTCATAACTGAAGCTCTCCAGAGCAGGCAACATAATAACAGCACCATTTCAGGCCATTCAGCCCAAATAATCTCTGCTAGTGTTCATGCGCCACATGAGGTTTCCTCCGGGTGCTCTGGTTTCCTCCCACAGTCCAAATTTTGGACATTCTTCAAGCTGCTCTTATACTAAATCATCTTGCTATGAGTTATCATGTAAAGCTTTTGTTATTTCCATCATTTTATGCTGCAGAGTTTAAGTTGTTTTCATTTTGTAAAAATACTGTGTAAATGTTTCTGTGTTCATGCCGTCTTGACTTGGCTGTAACTTAATGACTGAAACCTGATGCTGTAAATAAGGACTTTCTCTTGGATATGTATTTTTGATATCTCATGAGTATTGTATATGCCTGAAATGGTTAAGCTTGCAATAAATGCTCCTTTTAAACTTAAAACAAAGGGAGTGGTACAGTGGCTCAGTGGTTAGGTCTGCAGCCTCACAGCACCAGGGACCCAGGTTCAATTCCACCCTCAGGTGACTGTCTGTGTAGAGATTGCACATTCTCCCTGTGTCTGTATGGGTTCCCTCTGGTTTCCTCCCACTGTCCAAAGATGTGCAGGTTAGGTGAATTGGCCATGCTAAATTGCCTGTAGTGTCCAGGGGTGTTTAAGTTAGCTGTATTAGTTATGGGAGATGCTGCATTACAGGGGAATGGGTCAGGGTGGGATGCACTTTAGTCAGGCAGTGTAACTTGTTGGGCTAAATGGCCTGTCCCTACACTGTAGGGATTCTATGAGACTTTTTCCTAGATATCATCAACCGTTTTTCTCATCATCAGTTTCACTTAAATACACCTTTGCCATTCACCCAAGCTGCTCACAATAGCAAATTCCATTTTCAAATCATTTTCTTGGTGAAAATGTTTGTCCTGAATTGAATACATTAGCAGCTTTATTTACATCCTCTGGTTTATGGCCTCTCCATGGACTATCTCCATTACACCAATCCTGACAAACTATGTCATAACCTCAATAAGGTCATGCTGAGGAAGAAAATAACTGACCGCCCTTGAACACACACACACACACACACACACACACACACACAGTCCTGGCCAATACTGATGAGAAGCCACAGCAAATAAAAAATAGAGATATAGCCAAGAACACTGGGTGATAGGAAAAGGTGTTACTAAGTGACAATGTGAGGGAACTGGATTAACATTAGTAGAGATACAGTCAGTAACACAGTGCACCTTGTGGAGAAGGCTTACTGAGTGACAGTGTTAAGGAGCTGGAATCTCATCACCAGAAATACAGTCAATAATACTGGGCCTGGGGGAGAGGGATTACTGGGTGATTATGTTAGGGAGCTGGATTAACATCAGTAGAGATACAGGCAGTATCACAGGGTGCTGGGGAGATTGGTTACTGAGTGACAACAGAGGGAGCTGGATTAACATCAGTAGAGATATAAAACAGAAATTGCAGGGAAAAGTTCAGCAGGTCTGGCAACATCTGTGGAGAGAAATCAGAGTTAACGTTTCAGATTTTATTTAATTAGTAGAGATATAGTCAGTAACACAGTGTTCTGGTGAGATGTGTCACTAGTAACGGTTTGAATGAACTGGATTAACACCAGTAGAGATTAGTCAGTAACACAGTGTTGAGAGAGAGTGGTTAGAGTTGTAGAGTCATAGAGATATACAGCACTGAAACAGACCCTTTGGTCCAACTTATCCATGCTGACCAGATATCCTTAATAATTTAGTCACATTTGCCAGCATTTGTCCTATATCCCTCTAAACCTTTCATTTTCATAGACCCATCCAGATGCCTTTTAAATATTGTAATTGTACCAGCCTCCATCACTTCCTCTGGCAGCTCATTCCATACATGCACTACCCTCTGTGTGAAAAAGTTGTCCCTTAGGTCCCTTTTAAATCTTTCCCCTCTCAACTTAAACCTCTGTCCTCTAGCTTTCAACTCCTCCATGCCCAGGAAAAGACCTTGTCTATTTACCCTATCCATGCCCCTCATGATCATATAAACCTCTATGAAGTCACCCTTCAGCCTCCGATGCTCTAGAGAAAACAGTCCCAGTCTATTCAGCCTCTCCCTTTGAAGGTAAGCATGCAGGTGCAGCAGGTAGTATAGAATGCAAACGTTTGTTGGTCTTCATTGCGAGAGGTTTCGAGTACAGGAGCAGGGATATGTTGTTGCAGTTATACAGGGCCATGGTGAGACCACACCTAGAATGTTGCGTGCAATTTTGGTCTCCTTTTCTGAGGAAGGATGCTCTTGCTCTTGAGGGGATGCAGCGAAGGTTTACCAGGCTGATTGCAGGGATGGCAGGTCTGACATATGAGGAGAGATTGGAGAGAGGTTAGGATTGTTTTCATTGGAGTTTAGATGAATGGAGGGGGATCTCATAGAAACTTATAAAATTCTAACAAGACTAGACAGGGTAGATGCAGAGAGGATGTTCCAGATGGTGGGTGTGT